CCTGGCAGGGGGGGGGGGTGAGCGGGCGGGAGGGAGCTGCGGCCGTGACATGTAAAATTCTATTATATGTGCAGCTACCCCAAAAGTAAGACCTAGTGGATTTCTGTAATATAAGACCTACCACCGAACTAGGTCTTATTTTCGAGGTAGGTCTTATATTACAGAAATCCCTAAAGATAGCGCTAGGTCTTACTTTCGGGGTAGGTCTTACTTTCGGGGAAACACGGTAGCAGAGAGGAGTCCGCGCTGGATCGGAGAGCCGTCGCAACGCTGGAGGGACAGATGAAAACATCAAGAAAGAAGAAGAAGATCGGATTAAGAGACATCATTTAAGGTAAGTGCTGACATTAACATGGGGGGAGGATTTTTTTTTTTATCCTTTAATGTCACTTTAAGCTTTGAAATTGAAAGCTAGAAGCTGATTAGTTGCTCTAGAGCCTGTCTGCTCCAGTTTTGATAAATTCCCCCTATGTGCCCTGGCGTTGAGCCTGCTTTGAACTATGCAGATCAATGCAGCACAACGGATGTGGTATGAACGGACCCTTAAAATGTATCTAAACCTCAGAAGAAAAATGTAATATATTGCAGCTGCCCAGATGTAGTGGATGCTTTAGTTTTCTCTTTTTTCCCTTTATTTTCCCTGGTGATCCTGCCAGTAACACACTTCCTGTCTCGGGGTGACAACACTCGCTCACTGTACTGTGTGGATGGAGGAGCAGCGTTGTCATCCTAAGACTGGACTGCAGAACACCCTCTCAATATCGCCATAAGGCCCCCGTTCACACCTCGGTGACAGCGTTTTTGCACGTACCTGTGCGCGTCTTGCCCGTGTGCGAGCAAATTGTGACACATTGATGTAAATGGGCAAACACGCATAAAACACGCACAGAAATAGTTGTGTCCCACATTTCCAAGTGTTTCCTATTGAGTCTACGGGGACATAACGCGCTGTAATCTGCCAAAAAAGAAGCTCATGTGCTTTTTAAAGGGACAGACGTTTTTCCACACGCGACGCTGCGCTCAGGTGTGAACGGGGCTATTGAAATTAATGGGATTTCATGTCTAGAGCGTTTCAGCGTGCACAGATACGAGCGACAAAATGCCTTGGTGCGAACAGGGCCTAACATGGAGAAGGTGTTTTGTTGTCTATTGTTGTAACTGAGAAGGGTGCAGCACAGGAAATTATCAGCTTGAATGACTTCTGGCAGGATCCACGGGCATGTTTTGCGCTTATCGACAGTGGGATCACTAGGGGGGTGTGCAGCCCGCACCGAGTGACACCATTGGAGGGGGTGACTCCAAAAAAACTTACAGTGACATTTTGATGTCACCCCCTCTAAAAAGTCAGGCACTTTTTACCATTCAAGTTTTTTATTGTGTTAACAATAGGATGATAACAATACAGAAATGCAGCGATAGAAAGAGATACATCCAGTATGGGATACATTCCACCGTTGTAAGGCCACTCCACATAGTATTAATATTACAAATCATCTTAGGATCATTTGAATCCGCTACCCCCTTATGACAGTAGTGCCCTCTATGAACATTGCCACCTTCAACATTTCACCTTCTAAATATGGGTCTCATGCTGTGGGTACCCCCTTTTTTTGCGTGTCCCAGGTGCCTCTGCCTTTTAGTTTCGTTGCCTTCCCTACACCACTAATGATGTGTCAAGTCTCCTTTCAGGTATTACGGTAGACAAGCTGGTGCAGAGCCCGGTCTTATTCGCTTGTGATCTGCCACTCCTCTGTATTATGGGTTAGTGCCATTGGTGTTCAGGCCAGGCACTCTTTAGAGCCCAACAGTTGCACAAGAGAGGAGGGGACCTGGCGGCATACCTTATTGTGGTGGGTCAACGTCCCCTCCTCTCTCTGCCGGCGTCTATCACTAAGAAGACCGCCGGCAGCTTACCGTGTGTGACGTAATGACGTGCATGATGACGTCACACACATAACGGATGACGTCACGGTGGGGTGTCACCCGGTGACTGCTCTAGGTAACACCACTCCCTGGGACGCCCCTGCTTATCTGTGCAGTAATCCACTTATCCCCTTTGCAGGAGCTTCCTCTATTAAGACCGCTCTCTTCTTCTGCAAAGTGACTGGTCTTGCCTCCACCCCCTCATGTAGTTTACTGCAGGCAGCCTGTAGTGGGTGGAGCCTGTCAGGCCCCCCAATAACACTGCTCTCTGCACAGGCTATGTAAAGCACAGTGATGATGTCACTGCTATATTTGCAAGGTAACATCAGGGTTTGCAAAGGCATTTGGTACACATTAAGCAGATTTATGGTAAGTTATATATTTAATTGAGAGTTTTGGTGGCTGGAGTTCAGCTTTAACAGACCAAAAAAGACCAAATAAGAGAGGATCAGTAACATCTGTTCTTGGTTACGTGTAAGCTTTTATTATTGTGTTTACTCTTGCACACACTGTAAACAATTTACAAAAAACAATCACAGAACTTATGAGCTGAGAGCATCACCCCTCGGTGCAGAGAGGCTTTGCCATCCCCCAGACCACACACACACTCATATACGCCCGCCCGCACGCAGTCAGGACCATTGCTATCCCGTCTCCTAGCAACTAGCCCTGCTGTCAAAAGGTCACAAGGCTCGGGGAAGGCGGGGCAATCGCCGTTCACGCCCAGTCTATGTTGTGTTGGGGCTGAACCAGCACGCAGCGTCACGGGGAATCTCTGCGTCCTGCGCGCTGACGTCACGGGATCTCCTAGTAGCAGAGAAGTGCGTTGGTGCGCTGTCTGTGGCTTGGCTCGTCCCTTGGGACCTGAAGCAGCGGTGTCGTCTCTTCTTCTATCTCCGGCCGCCTTCGTGTGCGTGTCCCCATTCTCCACAAACTGCTGACTAACTCAACCGGTGTCACTGTCCCGGCCTGGAGCCGAACCTGCGCTGCAGGGATGGAGCTGCGGCAGAGCTGCGTGGAGGTGGAGGTGTGAGGAGCGGACGGTGGACCCGGCAGTGTAAGTGTCTCCGGCCTCTGTGCAGTGTTGACAAGGAAACACGGGCGGGCTGGATGTGTTGTTGACATGCCTGACTCACTGACAGGTAAACAGGGAAGTTCATCAGGCAGAAGTATGATGGCTGCTAGATGACAACTTCTTCTTCATGACTGTGGCTCTGCTTGCCCCTGTGCTGTTCTTTGGGGTGTCCACATTTGTCTTTGGCTTAGTTGTCCAGTGCACCCCAAAAGTGACCAGTGACGGGGTAGATGTAAACATAATTAAAGGGGACCCCCCACCTTCTTACCTGGTGTCCTGGGCTACCCTTAAAACACATACCAGTCCAGCAGTGTCATGCTGTAGTCCACTGCTGCATGCCAAATCCCATGCCGCCATCTTCTTTTACTGTCAGTGGTTGTCAGCCTATGGGCTACAACTGTGGCCATTGAGTGCCGCACATCATATCCAGTATATGACAGGAGACTGTCAGAGACTTCAAACATGTTGGAGAAGACGACCAGAAACTGTGGAGATGTAACCGGCTTGTTTGGAGACTGCAGGAGATAATCAGAGACTGGGGATGTGCTACATGAGAGTGCTAGAGATCACTGACATTACATCTACTCTTTAATTGAATGCCCCCCCATACTGACTGATGGGGTCAATAAAGGGCCACAGGTTGGGCAGCAGGGGCTTGTGTCATCGGGAGCAGGATGTCTCTTCCTGGTTCTTGCAGCCGGCCCCCTGATGACATGCAGTGTGTTCTAGATTGCCCTGAAGCCTTCTTGGATGCAAATTGCTGTGTATCCTAGGAGGTGTTGGGTGCCTGATCATGTGATTCTCACCTGGGCAAGAAAGGCAGGAGCCAAAAAGGCATAAAAAAATGCATGTTTTTAATAGGAAGGGGGGAAGGGAGTAATACTCAAGGAAGAAAAAGGGGGTGACGGTCCACTCCAAGCGGTGCTCAGAATTTTTAAAACTGAACCCCAGAAAGGTGTAAAATGCACAGATGAACGAGGTCATGTGATCATTTATTGCATCATTTTCAATACAAGCAGTTGGTATCAGCCTCTTGCAGTGTCCTGTACAGCAGAGCTCAGAGATGGGGAGGGAGAAGCAGCACATGAAGCCAGTGTAGAGTAAGGAGCATGCTAATAGCAGAAGATAACAGAGTGAAACAAGCTCATCGGTCTGCTGCTTCTCATTTTGTTGTCACAGGGTGGCGAGGAGACTTTAATCAGAGAAAGATCAGGTCCTGTCCCCTTCTTGGCAAGACTGCTGTGGGCAAAGCAGTGTAAATCTTAGGTCTGGCTAACTGTTGGAAAGTTAGACGGCTCATTTGTATTTATTTGTAGTTTGTAAGGCTCCACCTGGTGGTCAGACTGCTCCTTTCCTGACTCCCCAGGTAATGTGTGACGCTGCCCATACACCTATAGATTATCTGCAGATTTTTTGTGGTCAGATGGAAAACCTGCAACAGATTCCCCCATCTACGCTAAACTGTGTGGATGGAGGAATCTCCCACTGGGCCAAGCTTCAGTATCTTACTAGTTGGCCCCGCTGGCTGTCATAATACCTGAACATTGCCTGCAGCCAATCAGATTGTTCAGGTGGTGTGGGGACTGTTTATGCGACCGTGTGATCTGAACCGCCTCCCGCCTGAATTGCTCCCTTAGTTTTTTTTTTTCTGTGCTGATCAGAGCGGTTTCCATACAGCTTTCAGTGGAACCACGCGCTTCTGGGCATTTTTAATAGCGTTTCAGCGCTGAAACGCTATTAAAAATGTCCAAAACCACGCTCAGCCGCAGCATCCCTGGTGTGAACCGGGCCTAAGGCCCCATTCACACTAAGCGACACTTACCTGGAGCGGATCCGCGCGGCCGGGATAGCGCGTCTGTTCGGGTGACGTTCTAGCGACCTTCACCGTCGGGCTGCATGCAAAAAAAGACAAAATTGCGCTACATCCACGGGACGAGCGACATGGAGCTGTACAATAGAACAGCTCCATTGAAAATCATTGGACGGCGACTTCTCGCGGCAAATATGCGCGATATCGCGGCAGAAATCGCGTGATTAAACGCCCAGTGTGAATAGGCACTAAGTGTATTTTTTGCTGAAGATCTGGGCTTTATAAACGGTTGCACTAATATCATGCCACATAAACAAATTGCACCATTGTATTCTACAGGTCTCTGTTTTCAGGAAACATATCATTCTGGGGTGTTTAAGTAATCTTCAGGCCCAAAATGTGCATGTAACATGTGAAAGGGTTAAAGCCCATCTTTCATAATCATTTGTAGGTACCAGGTCCAGTAAACCGGCACTGTAGGTCTTCCAGTACCAGCTGTTCCCCAGCTGTGCCTTGTGCTTTTATTTCTTGCAGACTCCTTTTGGATCTCGAAAGGACCCTGAAGCTGAACAGCCAATAGGAAGTGTCCATATCTGACACCCCCC